GTCTTTGTGCCAAAACTTATCTATGATTATGTTGTTTGAGTATCAAACACGTAATCAAACTTTCACATTTAATCAGGATAAATTACAGGCTATTAAAACTTGCTGTTTTATTACCTAATGTATTCACGTATTAACGCTTAATGACTGAATGAATAAGAATTCAGCACACGTTCGCGTTTATCTCACTAGGGCTCGTGCGGTCACCTTGTGGTCACCCATTCATGCGGCGAAGCGCGTCGTGTACCGTATTTTTAATCTGTATTTTCTAATGTCTATATTTATTTACGGGGATTGTTTCGATTAATTATTCGGACTTGTTTATACCGACCTACTCCACTTTTTGCCCAGCACAACCAATCTATGCAGCAAATTGTCGCCTATGGTATTTCAGCTTGCGGTATTTTCTCTGTGCTATAAGCACTTAAATGATGAGTATCGTATATTAACGAGATCTGATCCAAACATAGATCAAATACTCATCAGTTAACCACCTCGAGGTATTGCTTCATGACATGAATGTTGATGTTGAGACACCAAACAATGGTGTACTAGACCTACCTCTGCGTGTCGGCACTTAAGGCCTGGCGCCACCATGACCGCGCATATTGTCAGATATATAATAATAAATTATGCATCGTTATAATTAGGGATGACTTATGTATCGTTGGCGAAGAATTGTAAGAGGGTTATTTTTATATAACGCACTTAAAGAACATAAATTACTTGAAGAACCGTAGGTATATCCAACGTCCATATAACAATGATGGATGAAGTTAACAACACAGTTTTTATAATAGACATAGCAGTATGTAACACACACAATCTCCTAACGACGCCCCCAAAAGTATGTTAAAATATATAGATTTAGCTACTGAAATAAAAAGACAATGGCAGGTAGATAGAGTTCAAATCGTTCCCATTATCATATCTACTATTACAATATTGTACATACTACCAACTGGTGTAGTCCCGAAGACTCTTTAAGATAGCTTCAATACACTTCAAATGTCGAAATCATTCCTCACACTCTTACAAAAAACTGAATACATGCCGTCTCACACGCAAATTTCTCGCTTCATCCTCATCTTAACTAAGACCTTTAAAATATAAGGGAGATCAGAAAAGGTATTTAAGATAATAATAATATTCTACCACATTCACACAACGCCATCTAGTCCCAAACTAAGCAGATCTTGTACTATGGGAACTAGACAACTGATATAAATACATATATACTTTTTTTGTAAATACACACTTATTGTACATAGACACACCCATTCCAAATCAAACATTAAATGTTCATGCACACAAATTTTGTCTTGAGCTGAAATCGAACCCGCGACCTTATAAGAAGAGGTAAGAATAGGTAAGTATGCCAGAACTATTACCCATTTGTCCCAGGTGACACCAACATGGCTGTCACTAGTTTTACGAACATAACCTTTTCATCTTCTGAGAATTCCAACGGTGTTGCATATCACATAACTGCAATAGAGATGAAATTGGCATATATGTACATATATTTATATGTAATAGAAAGGAATAAAAGGAAGGAAATGATGTCACCATATTTGTTTCTCGTAGAGGTTCGTAGTAGAAAATGCTACAAGTGCTACGTGACTTAGATACATATTGCAACCAAGACTAAGTAGGTACATAACTTCGAGAGAGTACATTTCATTTTATCGTACGTCGAGTCTGAGGATAGTGTGAATAAGGTCAAAAGCCAGAGAGGTTAAGCATTAGAACTAGTGCCTGATACCTAATAAATAACTTTTAGTCACCGTCGTTTGTTCATGTTTTTACAATATTCTTTTTCGATGTTAAGTACGCGTACCCTTTATATTTTTTCTAATTGAAAAATAAAATAAAAAATATTATTGTTATCGGATAACGATAACCCGTGCCACGGTACAATTATAATACAGTACTGTAACTCGGCGGCATGATAGAAATAAATGCCTACAGCCGCGCGTTACGTAAACATGCGTTAGGGCTGCCCGTCTCCAGCATTTTAATTATATTTGCCTACTTTCTGTTTCTATTTAGATTTGTGATTGTAAATATCCTTTTTATATAAATAAATGAAATACTTTGTATATTGAATAGGAAGTGTTCAATAAAAATGCGTGTTGTTTTTTGATTCACTCCCTATACATTTTGATACACTACCTATTTCACTAGTCTCAATAATTTTCCGTTACTCTATTCGCTTTATTTATTAATCCAAACACCTGTTTTTTCGTGAGATAAAAGGAAATACTTATCCATTAAAAAGACACACATTATGTACCTACCTACTAGTAAGTAAAATTATTTTATAGTCTTACCTTTCAGAGTTTCCAGGTAATTTAAAAAAACTTATGTCTGGATGCGTTATTGACGAATTCATACAACCAAAAACAGCACAATATTTCCTACTCGTCATATTAACTGATTTTTAGAGAAAAAATCGCGTGGTTATTGTTAAAAAAAACAACACACCGTCCGTTCGACACTGCGTTACAGTCTTGACTGTCTGCGCCCCGAGCGCACCCCGAGATCGAGGCGCGTAGGTATAGCTCGCGTTTCGTCCGTTTGTATGAAGTTGGAGTACTGTATTATAATAGTACCGTGCCCGTGCCGACTTGAAGTCAAACTATTATGAAAATATTTGTATGAATACTGTTCAGGACATTTCGCAACATAATTTTTATTCAGTAAATATACATATTATACATCATTTTTTTATTAAATATTTATATCACACTATTATTTGATGTTTATTATTAAAAGAACATTATTTATTATACTTTTTACAATCAAGATATACAGGTTTATGTTCCAGTAAGCTACTTCAACAGTGATTTTAAATGGAAATCTTACATTAACTTAACTACTCTCTCTACTGTATCATTAAAGGCTCTAAGTGTCATCACCTGTTTCTAAACTTGTGGAAAGAATATTATTATATTGTGGAAAGAATATGACCATGTAGTACGACAGGACTCTTTGAAGAACTGTTATCAATTTGGAAATTATTAAACAAAGACTCGTCAGGAAGGAACGTGCTGCATTGTCATTTCTACAACTAGTGTAGACTCGAAGACTCTTCAAGATAGCCTCAAGTGCCTCAACCCACAAAATACCGAAATCCTCTCTCACATTCTTCCAAAAACGAACCCTTCTGAATACATGCCGTCTCACACGCAAATTTCTCGCTTCATACTCATCTTAATTTTACATCATCCCTAGACTTGCTTTTTATAAAAGCGAAGTCATCGATGACTCGTAAAGTGAACCAGAAAGATCTCCTTTGGAAGGGATGCTTCTAAACGTATATTGTGAAGTTTCCCTTGAAAACTTATAAACTATTTTTATTTCTCGTTCTACATTTTTTACAAATCGATGTTTTTCCGTACAAATCCTTTAATGGAGAACTAGCTTATTGGAAACTTGTCATGTTAAGTGTAAGGGCCTCAATACTCAATAGGCTACTATTGACATAGTAACAAACACAGTCTGTGTTTATACTTAACTGACACATATCTAAAGAAACAGAAGATTAATTTCCTTTATAAGATGACGTCAAACCAGTTAGGGACGCATAATAATTAGCCGCACGTTTTGGTTGCTCTATGTATCAAAATTCAACTTTTTGTTCACTCCAGCTAAGTAACCAGGTCTGCCTGGCTCTTTCTGGAGCTGCAAATCCTATCTTTAGGTATCTTTATTAGTTGAAGTGCATCGACATGTGTAATGTCGAACAAATTGACAAAGTTTGTAGTAAACTCTTGTCGAAGCTTCTTGAATATGTCTTGCGTTTTGTTACTATTTTTTTGTAAATCTCTTCAAACTTAGTATAAGGAAACTAGTTTTTTAATTTAGTTAGGTAAAGATTTAGTCGGTATACGCGCCTTTTCTAATTATAAATGCACTAGCAAATATGCTCCTATTTTTTTGTAAATCTCTTCAAACTTAATGGATAACTTAACTTTTGGACACTAGTATTTTAATTTAGTAAGGTAAAGATTTAGTCGGTATACGCGCCTTTTCCTAATAATAAATGCACTCGCAAATAGATTCACGCTTTCTTTGACGCTAAAACTAACTTCACGAATATTATAGAAAAGAACTGCCAACACTTCTCCTTTAGAGGGTAGTTTTATTTTACTTCCCCTATTAGAATATCCCTTATGTAAAACTGTATAATTCCATTGCTATCTTGAATGAATAAAAATGTGTTTACTACCAATAAAAGCAAGTAATAACAAGCACTTCGATCCATTAACTCTGACACGCCAATGTATGCAAGTACTGAGATGTATCGATGCAAGTCGGCACGGGTTGCTTTAGTTCTAGGCGTATGAAATTGTATTTACAACTGTTTTGACACCATTCAAATAAAATTGGAAGGTATGCGTTGAAAAAAAGATCGTTTTTTTTAGGACACCTTAATGCAGATCAAATTATCCGCATAATCACTATAGTCATCTGTTCTATGTTGTTTGACACCACCTCTGTCTCAGCCAATCAGAAGCACTAACCACTAACGAAATCAACTGGTTGGTTATAAATCTAATAGCATAATAACGTGCATATAATATAAAACCAAAGGTCAAAGGTCATTTAACGTTCTTTGATATGCAGTGAGAGTCTCTTAGAGCGCTTTCAATTTAAACGGTTAGTGCCGGCCTGCTGCAGTCCTGGTATCGCAGTGTAGTCCTGGTATCGGACACAACGAAAGATCGTGCGATGAATTGAATCGAATCGATTGAATGACTAGAATTGTCTATGTATATATATACATCTTTAGTATACTCATGTGTTTATATACTCTTTAGTCCATAATTTATTGTCAAATGATAGTAATCAATGTCAAACCTAGTGCTATGGCGGCACAAAAACATTAACTTTTTAAATATTGAAGTCGAAACAGACAAATAATTTACCACTCACGACATGAACCACACAGACAGAAATGAACCGTAACCATTTTAGGTTGGAGGTTCAGGAATAGAATGGCTGTCAAGTTGATCCACGTCATTTTACTTCTGATAACCGTGATAGTGGTCCTGGTCAGACAAAAGTGCGTCACCGCAGCAACCACGGTCAGTAGCTTTGTTACTATCTCTATTAATGTCATTTACGTAGGTACTGCATCGTGTAAAGAATACAGTATTACTTCTGTAACCCTTGAAGAACAATCCCCGTCCTTTAACCTACACTCTTCTAAGCTAGAGTATAATTTTAAAAGACACCGTCAAAATTAAATCTTATGTAATAGCTGTAATAGGACCCTAAAACGAAAAACGTAAATCTTTTTTGTCATATCATCATACTTATTCCCGAAGATGCAAGCAAAGGCAGATTAATCGCCCACATTTTCGACCATAATGTAATGGGGGGCGAGCTTATTCCCGTCAACTGTGCAGTTTAGGAATTAGAAGGGAAATTGCGAGTTCAATATGAAAGGAAAGATTGGTAAGATGGTAAGGATGGGAATGGTAGGAAAGGGATTATGCTTGTACAGGTAGTGGGGGGGAGTTACACATTTGTGGCGAATTTACACATTTGCCATCAGTATGCTATTCAATTTTTGCCACTCCTACTGACCTGTGCAATTCAATACCCGGACTTATAATCATACTCGTATTAATTATATTTTTTGTCAAAATTGCAATACCATTACAATAGTGCAATAGTGCACAACGTCTAATGGCTTGGCTCACGCAGAACCGATCACGCAGGGAGATTTATTTACCTATGTTGCAAACTAGTAGCATCCATTGCTATGCAGAGGATAGTACGGGAGATGCCCTTTACACCGGCCGTCCCAATATTTCTCGGGAAAACATTATCGAGAGTCGAAACAAACTTGTGTCTGAAATTGAAATTGAAACTTAATCCACTCCAAAAAAAAAAAGACAGGTATGTGCGTTTACCGCCACGAAGATAGCATTTGTCGTATCAGATGTCAGCCAGTATATGTCAGCCTAGGCATCGACATATAGAGCGAAGTCTAGTTTCGGGGTCACTTAGAGTGTAAGGTCAAATTGACCTTGAAGAACCTCGGTGTGCTGAACAAATCGAGGCAATATTTCACTCCGGCCCACCGACGGTGTTTCTCTAAGGGATCGCATCAGGAATGAGGTGATTCGGCAGAGAACCAAGTTCATCGACATAGCCTAGTGGATTAGCAAGCTGAAGTGGCAGTGGGCTGGCCATATTAGTCGCAGAACCGACAATCGTTGGGGATAATGAGTTTTTGAGTGGAGATCGCGTCTCGGCAAACGCAATGTTGGACAGGCCAGGTAGCTGATGATGCTGATGATATTGTATGAAATTATTTGATTTCATTTTTGGGCGACTTGTAAAATATTCGACACTTGATACAATGACAAATATTTATTGTTTGTCATGAATTGATAGTTAGTGCGTAGTGTCAAACTTAGAGAGTTTCGAGTCGAGTTGGACCAAGTATCTAACCAAGTGTTATCTCTGTTAGAGTAGTGCCCAAGAGCAGGTTGAACATGCAACGGAATGGCAGATAGATGATCTTGTTTACACACCACTATGGTTCCAAAGAAGCGCCATGCCAGACTGATAAATAGGTGTTACTGTAACCCATGGACGATAGCTAAACAGGAGTATCACTTACGCGTTACCAATACATTGAAAACAACCCTGACTGTTTCTTAAACTTGGGCAGGTTATTCTACAATCTTGGTGCCTGGGGAAGGATGTTCCTACCAAACCGGTTAGTACATGACCATAGACCATATTTTAAAATAATTCGGTCCTTTACGGTTACACCAGAAAGAAAGATCGTGTTTTTGAACCCTGCCTTAGCTGTTACAATCGAATTTATTCTTAAAATCGTTCCGTTTGGGATCTTAAATTATTTAAAAGGGTCTTCCTTGTAGTTTTGAGTATAAGACAATCTTGCTCTTTATCTTTTAGCAGGAGTTATTAAGAATATTAGAAGTACTGTATAGCACATCCGTGTGGTGACTGATTAAGAATACAGTGTCACCACCCCTATTCATCCTGTGGGTGTCGTAAGAGGCGACTAAGGGAGCGAAATACGCAGGACACTAGCACTGCAGAGAGAAGGAAAACTTGACACAAACCCTATACCAACCCGTCTGGCCAGCGTGGTATAGTAGGCCAAAACCTCCTTTCTAAGGAGAGGCCTACGTCCAGCAGTGGACTGCTAAAGGCTGTTGATGATGTATAGCTTAGATATTTTTTGCAAAATAATTGTTTATTATAAATAGCATTTCAGTAGCATTGGCAAAGTGAAAATTAGTAGCACAATTTTAATCTGTTAGACCAAAGAGGTTCCCAGCTAAACGTTCTTGTTCCTTATTTATGTTCCTAGAGGAAGCGTTGTGAAAAACACTCATCCTTTGACGACCCTAACCTCACTGTGATGCCTCCAATATCCAATGCCTACTACCTGGGCCCTCAGTGCAGCTGGCTCCATCATGTCTGGCCTCGGCTCCAGAGGACTGCAATGCCGAGGCTCAAGTACAAACGGGATCCAATCATCATTATCGACAACGAAGACATAGGGCGCCACCCTCGTGGTAACTCATCCCATGACCACACCGCCGCCCGTTTGAAAAAAAGTAGTCACTGACACTTGGTTCAGCAGGGTAATAAACATTGTAAAATTGATTCTCATTGTTTTATTCATTTATCTGTATGTGTTTGTATAACAAAATTTGCGATCCACCCCGGGATCGCACAGGTGCAATGTAGGTACCACTAATGTGGTGTAAATGTGGAGTAATTAATCATAGAATTGTTATGATCAGACTATATCATAGGACATCTTTATAATTCATACTTTCATACTAATATTATAAATGTGAAAGTGGGTCTGTGTGTCTGTCTGTTACCTCTTCACGTTTAAACCGATTTAGATGAAATTTGGTATGCAGATAGTTTGAATTTTGAGGAAGGACATAGGCTTCTTTTACCTTGATAAAAGACACACATGCTGGCGGAGCCGCGGGAAAAAGGTAGTATGCAATGGTATGCCGTTAAAGGCGATTCTAATGTACATTAAATTTATAACGTATCAAACGTATTTTTTTTGATGAGGAATAATACTGTATTGTTCAAAATAGCTTCGTAAGTTACTCGTTACTTCGTAGGAGATAGATATACGCCATCGCGGACTTTTTGTAGATCTTTTAAGATATACAATTCCGTAGTACATCATTTTAATCTATCTCGTAAGGTTAAGCGAGCGTTTGCGATGTAAGCGCACAAAAACATGTCGATTACAAATTCACATTACAAATCTTTGAAATTCTTGGATATCTTCAACTACAATCTGCATATATTATACATATAAACTCGCCTCTTAAATCATTTTTCTTTTGGTTAAAACCGCTTCAAAATCCAAATAGATCAAAAAATCTAAGCGTACAAGAAAAAAAGCGACTTTATTTTTAAGAGTATACTATGTAAAGATGTTCATGTGTAGATATATAGATTATAATAGGTCTTTACCTATGAAATTGCCGTTTTGTATGCAATAAGTGAAAGTACTTATTTTTTCAAACTTATTTATCTCTGTTATTCGAAGTAATCACCCATGCAATCGACGCATCTTTGCCAACGCATTGGCAGTTTATTGATGCCCTTCTTGTAAAAATCAGCTGGACGGGAGGCCAGGCCAGGCCAGAAAATCACCAGACCTTGCACCTAACGACTATTACTTTTTCCAAAATTTAGACAACTTTTTAGTGGGTAAAAAATTCAATTCCCAAGAGGCAGTACAAAATGTCTTTGAAGAGTTTATTGCCTCCCGTCTAGCTGATTTTTACAAGAAGGGCATCAATAAACTGCCAATGCGTTGGTAAAGATACGTCGATTGCATGGGTGATTACTTCGAATAACAGAAATAAAAATTTTTGAAAAAATAAGTATTTTCACTTATTGCATACAAAACGGCAATTTCATAGGTAAAGGCCTAATATTTATGTAATTGTTTTTAAAACATTTTAGAAGGTAGGCTACTACTTCTTGGTTGTCCAACGTTTATGCGAATTACACCAATCATGGTCATGGGTGGACTCGAGAAGCTTACCAACGCCTTCATGAGTTGCGAGTTTCGGTAAATACCGTTACATGTTGTATTAACATTTGAAAAATGAAATATTGCCGTTCACTGTTCCTCATTGCTACAAGCAGGGAACGTAAATATGTCTATAACGTAAAGGCCGCCAGGTATGGGTGTACAGAGCGTGCATCACATCACACGGCATTTTCAGGGCGGCGGCACAAACAGAAATCGAAACGAAAACGAAAAATTGACATAATTTACATGCCTAATACATTTTTACTATATCATAATAGTAAAATGTTGCAGTAATAACTAACACTTGTAGATTTCTCAGTGTACAAAATTAATACAAACTTCGAATTAATTTACTAAACATAAGCTGTGTGCCACTGCTATGGTCAGAGCGTAGTTGATGCTTCACATGTTGGCAGAATATCAGGCGTGTGTGTAGCAGAGGCATGACCTCGTGATTGATTACAACCATGGTACGGAGCGGGTAGAACAGCACTAACTCCTTCTGCGAGCAAGTGATGCTCGCGAAGGACAGGGTGAAATAGGACCGGGAGGAGCTTAGAACCCTCTCTCGGCTTGTCCGGCTCCCACGGGTTGTCTGATGGGAGGTACCCGAAGGGCGATTTCGGCATGAAGAAAAAGGCATCTTCAACCGCATTGCACGCGGGCTCTAAAACAGCTAGCGACGGCCTGCCTGCGAAGAAGGCGTATTGGAGGACTGGTATACAAATAGTTGGAGATACCAGAACAGTATTTTTTCTCTAGTCTATAACCATAGGTAAACAGAACTTTATCGAAAAGATACTACAGTGGTACAACGAATCCTGTTTAAAGGCTTACATCCATTTGAGTAGAAGGTTACTCGGCTTGAACATTCAGCTGAAATACCAACCGCTTGCTGTACAAGGACACGCAAAAACGCTTTGTCTACAAATTACTTTAATAGTATTTTAAAACTTCTATTTTTATGCGTACAATAAAATAAATTTTGATAAGGTGAGTAGTACAGTTGTACACCAATAAATAGTTCAAAAGTTACAAGAATGGTTACATATTATTATAGATTAACAATATAAATAAGAAAACACAATTATTTATCAAAATATAATCGTAAACTAACAAAATTATAAAACAATAACTCGACGACTATGAACATTGTCGAGTCGGTGAGCCGTACTGTCGTCTTCTGGCTGGTACCATGAGATACTTTACATTCTTTTTGTAGTAGGGGCAAGCGGGCTCATCACAACCGAGTATGTCAGCTTCGTGGATCCCTTGCCCTCCTCTCTGCAACAGCTCGTCTCCTATTATCAACCGCCTGGCACAGGCCAGTAGGCACGGACCGCACACTGCTACCGCACACAATGCTGCTAAGAATTCGAGCAAGAACATCACCACCTCATTCCACATCATGATTTTTGCGACAATACATTTGCCGTTCCATTAGATTGTATATATTTTAATTGTTAATGCCTACAATGATAAAAACAGCGTTGTGATCGAATTATTGAACAGGAAATACGATTTATATACCAATTAAAATTATAGCAAAAATACATAGGTTACAATAAACTATCAATGTCAATTTCTGTATTTTTTTTATTGTAAATGGTTTTCTAGTTTGTTTTGTAATAGACTTGTATAACGACTGGGTTACTTTGGCTTGTTTGTATAGGAGGTTCCATAAACTTAGTATCTAGGGAATAGACAAATCAGTCTATTTAAACATGAGAAAGCTGTCCGCGCGTTGGGTGCCGCGTTTGCTCACGTTAGACCAAAAACGTGTTCGAATGAACATTTCCAACGCTCTGTTGGCGCAGTTTAGGTGCAATAAATCCGAATTTTGGCGCTGATTAATTACTGTAGATGAAACTTGGATACACCATTATACGTCCAAACAGTGGACTGCTAAGGTGAAACCAGCTTAAAAAAAAGGCAAAAACTGTTTTTCGGCTGGGTAAGTGATGGTGACTGTTTTTTGGGAGAATCATCGAGTTATATTAATCGATTATTTCCAAAAAGGAAAAACCATTACATTACATGAGGATACTATGCATTATTACTTAACAAGCTGAATGCAGATGCAGATGCGGCTTCTGCAAGGTGGAGTCAAATTTCATGATAGATAGGTAAATCGACAACTGACGCTGTTATATCGGTTAGAAAGTTTGTCACAGAGTCAAAATTTCAATACGTGCTGGCTATTTTCTTAGATATATCTGGCGCCTTCGATAACGCATGGTGGCCCATGCTGTTGCTGAAATTAAAATCACGGGGGTGCTTTAAAAATATTTATTCCCTTATATCTTCGTACTTTTCACAAGGTACTACTAAACTAAGACTTGGTCATCATTCTGTGTCGAAGGCGCTTACAATGGGATGTCCTCAGGGATCGGTGCTAGGTCCATACTTGTGGAATATCGGCTTCGACGATTTTCTTGCGATACCAATACCATCCGGATGTACTCTGAACGCGTATGCTGATGACGGCTTATTACTAGCCGACTAGCCAATAGATGTTTGAACTTGATATCTCAATGGGGTGAACGTAATCGCTTAAATTTTGCACCCAACAAAACCTTCCAGCTACTTTTAAAAGGTAACCTCAAATCACCGCCAAGCATTAGATTTGACAATGTTACTGTAAAAAATAAGGCCTCAGTGTGTTACCTAGGATTAGTTTTAGAAAGAAACTTTTCATTTATCGAACATATTAAAATAGTTAATGAAAAGTCTAAAAAGAGTTTCTGTGCATTGACAAGGATATCAACTGCGACATGGGGTCTATCATTTAATACATTAAAGATCATATACGGAGCTACTTATTTAGGTTCTATGTGCTATGGTGCACCTGTATGGGCCGATAGGGCGACCGTAGGCGCTGTCCGTCGCAAACTGTTACAAGGCCAACGACTTGCACTGATATTCTTGTGCAAGGCATATAGGACGGTTAGCACCGAGGCTTTGCCGGTGTTGGCGGGTGTGCTTCCGGTCGATCTCGAAGTGCAGAGACGTGCAGCCATGTACTATTCAAGACAACAAAACATGGAATGCGATTTTTTGAGCGCGCTGGATCGCGGTAAAATTACAAGATTGCTTCAACAGCAGTCCGATGTCTATAATGACCTCATAGACGAATGGCAACAACGCTGGGATGAATCATCCAAGGGGCGCCATCTTTACCAATTCTTTCCATCTGTTCGCGAACGGTTGTCGAGGACATGGCTTGAGGTGGATCACTGTGTCGCTCAATTTCTTACGGGTCATGGTAACTTTAAGAGCAAGCTTTATTCATTTAAATTAGTCGAGTCACCATTGTGTCAATGCTCAACACCTAACTCTCACCATGAACAGTCTGCTCATCATATCCTCTGGGAATGTAGTCTTTGGTATAATGAACGTAATATAATGCTGAATACCTTGCAGGTGACATCTGGGGCGGTATACTATGTGTCGGGGCGGGATCTTGTGTCAAATAGGGTGAATTTCCGTGCGTTTAGGCGATTCTGCCATACATATTATAGAAATCAAATATAGCTCACGTAGGACCCGTAATATTGCGTGGCCGTGGTGCTTCCCTGTTTAAAAGGGTGTATGCCCATTTTATTTCATTTTGTCTCCCGCTTTGCTAAGGAGGGAAGTGGATTTACTGTATTTCCAACTCCTCCAATTTTCTTCTGATTAATTTCGTTGCGGGTTCCAAGACAGTTTAATTTCTTCCTGGGACTTCCCGAGTGTCATAGCTCGGTGTTTTCGTGGGTCACTGCTGTGGATCCTGGTGTATAGGAGTTACAGTGGTGGGCATGTGGGCGGGATTATAAAAAAGCTGAATGCAAAACTTGCGAAAAAACGGCCACATTTGCAGAAAAAGAAAATCCTGTTTCACCAAGACTACGCACCATCTCCGGTTGCCATCAGCGGTTGCCATGGCGAAAATCCACGAATTACGGTTTGAACTGCTTGACCATCCGCCTTACTCACCAGATCTAGCCCCCAAGCTACTTTTTGTTCTCTCATCTAAAAATTGCGCTCGGAGGACAGAGATTTTCGTCAAATGAAGAGGCAATCACCTTCGTGAGCAATTATTTTGCAGAGAAAAACGCCGAGTACTATTTGGACGGGTTAAGGATGGGAGCATTGCTGGGAAAAGTGTGGAAAAAAGGAGACTATGTTGAAAAATAAAAAACTGAAAAAAGGTCTTGTATCTTTGTTAGGTCGGAAACTTTTCAGACCACCCTCGTACTTTAGTATTTTAATCAAAAATACCTTTCATGACAGTTGTGATATCGAAAGTTGATCGGAACTGAATTGTGACCGAACTGTTATTGCGAGACTTGGCGTTCTGATGTATATCGTCTAATAAAATAATTCGTAATCTTGTAATTTTCAATGATAATGCTGTAATTGGCCTAGTTTACAAAGAGATTGTAAAACATAATAATTTAGGATAGCCTTTTTAAAATATGTTTCAAGTAGTTTGTGTTTAAAGTTCATCCTATCCAAAACCATTTTAGCAAATATAACTACAATTGGTTTTACGCGTACTACGCTTTCTTATACAATAATTCGTAACCATTAATTATCAAATTTGATATCCTCAAGTAAAAAGTGAAAGTTATACATATATCTTCAATAGTCTTTGACAGACTAAGATGTAACAGAAGAATATGCACAAAAGTTAAACGAAATAGATGATTGTCGTAATCGTAACCGATTAAAACCATCCATTCAACCCTCTTTATCTAATTAATAACTGTATTTATATCCGTTATGTGTGTGTATCTATTTATTTCGTTTTTCTGTTCAACAAGGCCCCAAATTCTTGTGTGCCCGGAGGCCCCGACATGTCCTAAGACGGCCTTGCATCCCGGTCTTGGGCAATCCGCATTCATTCACTGCCACCCATTTTCCTCAAGTCGCCGGTTTGTGGCAACATTGTTGCACATCACTAGAAATTAATTAAATACACACAGACGGCAGTTTTATTGACAATAAGACTCATATAAACTGGTGGACTGGCCATCGTGATCTCGGACCTTATTTCATCAAAAGTCCATCGTGCCGCATGAATCTCATGATAACTTTTAATTATGTTATTGTGCAAATGTGTTTTATTATAATATCAAGACATCCCCCTCATAAAAATACAATTAAAAGCAACCCATTTAATATGTAGGCTTACAACACTGCTGTAATTGTTGAATGAAAGGAAACACGAAAAGTCAAAATGTTGTCAGATGTCATGTCAATTGTCAGTCAAATATTTCCAAACCATGGGTCGGATGACGATGTGCCGGAGTTTCAAAAATAAAATGGGATTTATTATTTTAATATAGTGAATAACTTACAATTTACATGAAATTTCATGTATCTACATATCAGACAGTATTTTTTATGTGTTAAGTATACCTGTTAATTAAGTAGAAACTCCACGATGGCTTCTATGGGGGTTTGGTAAGTACAGTAGTCATATAAACATTACAAGAATTTTGTAAGTAGCGCTGTAAGCAAATAATGGATTTGTACCAAGTTCATTTCTATAAGTGAAGTAAATTAATGTTTATCTGATATTGCTCAGCTATTTAATCACAAAAATAATTATAACTGGACCAATATGCATTAATTTTATTATCATGATAAACAATTTTTTAGTCAGCAAGCAGTATCTTATTACGTATTATGAAGTCCAATGTGGTGATATGGTGATACTAAGGACCAGTTAATCTTTATATATATGTAAATACACCATTTCTGTTTAAGTCCTATTTTATTTGCCACATAGCAGAAGGTACTATATTAGTAATCTAGAGAATATTTTGTAATAGTTATAAATAGTTTTTGGCGTTTATAAATATTTAATATTGTTACTGAATAACGTATCTGTGTTGTCTATTAACAATGACAATCTATTATTGTGTATGGAATGAAACGCAAGGGTAAATCCTAAAAAAAACAACTAAAATTGTTTTGTAGCATTTTTGAGAATCATTCAGCAGTAGCTGTTATAAAAGTCTATGTTAACAGGGGTTACTGTGAATTACTTATGAAAATATCTTGGCTAATTGTTGTAAAGAACCCCCTTTCCTACTCCTTTTCAAAATTGAAACAAGATCTATTTCTTAGCGTTCCATGGATTCACTGGGACGATGATGTTCAACCTTCAATTATGCATTTTTTTAAATCATTATATAGATCAAGGTGTTATGTAGTCTGTCTTAAAATAGTTATATCAAGAGTAACTCAATTCCGAAGAAAGATGCCTTAATTCTGCCAATCGTGATCCTATAATGTCTTTCATTTTCATGTACTTTGATACAATTTCATAAACATTAATAATAATAACAACTTACTACCACCTTGAGTACCATCTTAGCTTTCTTATTTTCAATTGTTACCCTTGAGTTTATATACATTTTATGAGTGTAACAATAAATTACCATGATTGATAATTACGATTTTTTTAACAATGTTAATGAAATTTAAAAAATACTCTTCCAGTTGATTATTTAAGAGAAGTCCAAAGGAAGAAGATTAGTTACTTTATTTCCTCCCTCCCTCTCACACAAATTACATGGATTAAGGAGGTATTTATTATGGGATTCATTTATGTCAATAAATCCTTCTGCTCTTCAGGTTGGTGACCTCCCTGTGCTTTGTGGTGATGATGCTCATATCGCATGTCTACCACAAGCTTCTGGATGCGTACGAGCAGTCAGCCACACTTAGTGATATTGAATATTCCTGGTAAGTGTCTCATATGTACAGACTTATAGAAGTAAGTGAAGAAGTCCTTCACATATGATTGTATCCTAGCCGACTTACTCTCCATCTCTCAAAAGTTATAATTTATCTCTTTATTGTACACCACTGAAGTATTATTTGTACAGTTATTATAAATATATATAATAATAATAATATTCTACCACATACACTCAGCGCCATCTGGTCCTAAACTAAGCAAAGCTTGTACTACTACTAGACGACTGATATAAATACATATATACTTTTTTTTGTAAATACTTACTTATTATACATAGAAACACCCAGACCAAATCAAACATTAAATGTTCACGCACACAAATGTCTGACTTAAGCGGGAATCGAACCCGCGACCTTTGGAACACACACACCTTCCGTTACACAAACCACTACGCCATTCGGTCGTCTAATATAATTTCAGTTATACTTATAGTTAAAATAATTTTTCAATTTGAACCAGGAGTTCCTGAGATTAGCGCGTTCCACCAAACAAAGAAACTTGAGCTTGATAATATTAGTAATTAGTATAGATTAGAGATCTCCTGGTGATCCAATTTCAACCGTTATAAATGTTTGGTTTTATTTCAATGTACTGTATAACTGGAACTGTCATTATATGAACTTTTGTACCACATGGCATTTAGTTTACATTGATTTTTGAGACCCCTGTATATGTTGACGATATACAGGGGTTTCAAAAATCAATGTAAACTCATCTTTAATTAGAGGCTGAAGCAGTTGTGTTTCAGTTTTGAAACGTTATTTAAAGAACGGTTGTTTATGGTTACATTATAGTAAAAAAAACGGTCAGGTACGAGTCGAACTGGTGCGCCGAGGATTCCGTACCTACCCAGATTTTATTTATCTTATTTTCAACTTTTTTATTTTTTGGAATTATTCCTTTAGTTGTGATGTAAGACGTTTCTTTCTGCGCTAAATTTTGGTACTTACAAGTTTTCGCGAAAATCTAAATTTGCCCATATCTTTTTATCGTGTTGACTCAGGACCTTGATTTTTATACACTTAATAGGGACCATAGACCTCAGTATCTGGTATAAATTTCAACTTGCTAGGTCTACCCGTTCCTGAGAAAATCGGTGGTGACTAAAATGTCTGTCCGTCCACACGGGCAGACGGGCAAGAAAGTGATCTTATAAGGGTTCCTTTTTTACCTTTTGAGGTACGGAACCCTAAAAATCAGAGAAAAGTTATTATTTGTAGTCACATGACTTGAACGATCATCACAGGGTGTCAGTATTCTTTTATTAGGGTAACTAGACTGAGACAGACTATCTAAGATACTTGGCCTATCCCGTTACCGGCTTAACGTTGATTATTGGGTCATGCTGTATACTGGGGCACCTTTATGTAGTGTAATTATGTAATCGCTTTTACATAATTTAACTTTATAGCTCTAGCTTTCTGCACTTCTACTACATTCACATAAATATAAATTAGGTATGCTAAATATGACACGCGCACCCGCGTCATTTTTGTTTAAAGATAGTAACAACGAATTTTCTCCTGACTTAAGTAATCAACATACCTATTTGATTAATATCTTGTTCACTTCCGCTTCCAAAATTGTCATCAATATGGCTTATGTCAGGATATCCTAACCTAATCTGACAAAGACGATTATTGCAAATACCAAATGACGTTCATTGAAATTAAACTGCTTTTATCGCATTATATTGCGATTAACAACTTGATAGTTAGATATCATCACTATTCGTGTCTTCTAGGTTTCGTTGCATCTCTCATCGCATTAAGCGACGTCAAGAGCATGATAACATTAACATTGATGGATGCACAGCTTTCGTGGCACAGGACACTTGATGGCGACACTGGCAACTCAGAAAACAATGGTTATTTCGCCCGGTTAACTTTTACACCGATTGTCTGTAAGCCACGGTATCCGGTCTCCGACTGCGGTCAAACTGGCCCATCTGTGCCAAAAAAAAACACTGCAAAGAGAAGGAAAACTTGACACAAACCCTATACCAACCCGTCTGACCGGCGTGGTATAGTAGGCCAAAACCTCCTTTCTAAGGAGAGGCCTATGTCCAGCAGTGGACTATTAAAGGCTGTTGATGTAATACAATACTGAAGCTAAATTATTTTTTTGTTGCAGGTTTTTCCGTTTACTGCTGAATCTTGTCGGCTATTCCACGGTTCTGCTGCCCATGTTCATATTGTACAAATATCTACAGAAAATCAACTATTTCGATAAGATTAGTGAGTGTTCATACTTAATTCTAACAACTTTTGATTTAATCCTCATTACTGAAATAAGTACAATTTCAAATTCAGTGTTTATCAACAGGTTTACACCTTTAAAATAATCTTATCATCGAGTGTCATATAAGTTATAATTGCCGTGGTCTGATGCATGAAAACACTTAATACTATCTTGGACTGATGTAATCTCAGACGTCAGCTGTCAAAGTACTGAAGGCCAATATGTTCGTAATAAAAGTTCGGTGTCAATTCAGTTCCGATCAACTTTCGATCTCATAACTGTCATAAAAGGTATTTTCGGGAACATTCTACAAACAAAGATATAATAATAATAATTATTATATTATTATTAATCGTCGATAGCCCAAACATATCCGATCGGCTCGATCCCTTGGCGTTACGTAGAGATGTGGCTTCAATCTGTATTCTCTATCGCATATATTAGGGAGAGGGCTCCGAGGAATTGTTCGGACTAATACCAGCCGCAACTTGTCGCCATCGTTCCACACGGCAAAATTTTCATCCCCATCACCTGGCTAGTTGGCGCTCCACTTCTGTGCGCTTTTCGAGACAGTTTTTGCCCCGCACAACCAATCTGTCAAACGGGTTATCGTCTGCGGTATTTCCGAGCGAAAAGAACGTACTCCTTCCTAAAAGGCCAGCAACGCGTTTGTGACTTCTGAGTTGCAGACGTTCAGCAGCGATGGTCGCTTTCCGTCAGGTGACCCGTCAGCTCGTCTGCCCCCTCTAACGTAAAAAAATAATTAAATGTATTTAGGTCACCTCTATAAAAGATGTATTAAGGCATAAATACAATATATTAAATATACATATATTGTATTTATGGCGTCGTCCGTGTGGTGACGGATTAAGAATACGGAATGTCACCACCCCTATTCATCCCGTGGGTGTCGTAAGAGCCGACTAAGGGAGCAAACTACGCAGAACGACAGCACTGCTAAGAAAAGGAAAACTTGAAACAAACCCTATACCAACCCGTCTGGCCAGCGTGGTATAGTAGGCCAAAACCTCCTTTCTAAGGAGAGGCCTATGTCCAGCAGTGGACTGTTATAGGCTGTTGGTGGTGGTGGTGGTGGTGGTGGTGTATTTATGGCTAGTTACAATTACTCAGTTTATAATCGATACTTTCGGTTCACTTGAAGGTTCTTTGTCATAATTACGTTCGATCCGCCTTATCTACATCTAATAATGATTATTTCGGGACAACTAAAGTTATTTGTTAGTGATGTATACGCTCTTATACAATTACACCAATTTAACTGAAAGCACAGTTTTGATAAAGGCATGTTGCATCGAAGGAACTAAATTGTTGACTCATGTATATTTAGAGATAGTATTCGTTTCGTAATCTACGATCTAACAGAAATTAAATAACGCTCGATAGAATCGGCAATCGATTTTAACACTCGCATCGTATGCAAATTATCTCTCTAAAATTGATGTAGAATAAGTTTTCGTGTCGTTTTATTTTATTTACTGTCGTACTCATAAAACACGACCTCGTGAAAATTAACGTCTGCATTGCATTCTGATCTTAGTCTGCAAAAAAGAATACCATGAGTCACCTACCAGAGTGATTGAATGCAACTCTCTCTTATAACCGTGAGATACATCGAGTGCTGACTGTAATTAGGAATGTGTTTTTTGTACAGTGAAGTGTTGCTTTCACTTTTTGCTTTTTATCATACTATGTACGTTGTGGTAAATATTGAATTACCTGACTGACTGGCCTATTGGTCTAGTGGTTAGTGACCCTGACTGCTGCGCCAGAGGTCGTGGGTTCGATTTCTACCCAAGACAAATAATTGTGTGATGAGCACGGCCATTTGTTCTGTGTCTGGGTGTAATTTATATATAATATGTATGTATTTACAAATATATATGTATGTTTATCAGGAGTCTGGTTACCATAGTACAGGTTCTGCCTAGTTTGGAATCAGACGGCCGTGTGTAAAATGTGTGAAAATATTATTATTATTAATTAGAATATCGAGCTCGGCTACAATCATACCAATCTTTTATATTGACATTTCGCTGTCTAGTTTTTTATGATACTGGGAACAAACAAGCATACGAACCTTTCACCCCAAAAACAGTGGAAGAGGGACTTGGAGTCTCTGGTAACTTCACTTACTTTGTGAAATACCATGAAAGAATTGCTTAACACGGGTTGTCTGTAAGGCCGTGGTATCACTCTGGTGGAACCTGCCTATACGCGCTAAAACGTTGTTCTTTCACCGTGTAAAATAAACGAAGACTGGGCTTTAGTACATGCTCCTTGTGGTGACGGATTAAGAGTGTCACCACCCCTAATCATTCCGTGTCGTAAGAGCCCACTAAGAGCAAATAGCACTGCAAAGGAAGGTAACTTGACTCACTCTATACCGACCCGTCTGGCACGCGTGGTATAGTTGGGACAAAACCTTCTTTCTAAGGAGAGGCCCGTGTCCATCAGTGGACTACTAAAGCCTGTTGATGATGATGATGATGATGACTGCTTGAATACATTTCCTTCTCAAATACAATATACATAGACCGAGGAATTATTATAGTTATATTGATTAATATTTGAGGGAACTTTGGACACTCGACGCAGTTTTAAGAGGTGAGGTGATTATTTAGAAGCGTGCTAAAAGTATCTATGTAGTTATACAATAATCAACTCTTCTAGAGCAGTAATTTATATGTCCCGCTGTAAATCTCTTTTCGAACGTGGGAGTGAGTTCCTTGCGCGTATTATAGATGTCTATATACACTACTCGTATATATATGTAATATATTGTGTTTGTATACTTTTCATATTATAATAATATAAGTAGAAATATTCTACAAATATTAAATTTAATTATTAAAATAGTAATATCTTAATTACATAGTTTCTTTGTCGATTTGAAGAGATAACAAAGTTAATTAATTAAAAACTTAATAATGTTTAATCCAGAATTGCATATTATAATTATCCTTACACTAGCTGACCCGCGCAACTTCGTCTGCGTCTCTCAATAGTAATAAATTTTCTCCGTTTTTGAAACATTCTTCATTGGTGCTCCGCTCCTATTGGTCTTAGCGTGATGATATATAGCCTATAGCCTTCCTCGATTAATGGGCTATCTAACACTGAAAGAATTTTTCAAATCGGACCAGTAGTTCCTGAGATTAGCGCGTTCAAACAAACAAACTCTTCAGCTTTATAATATTAGTATAGATATTAAATAAAAATGTATACTGTGTTTGCACATTAACACATATCTAGGTAATAAGCGAGTATAATATAGCGTCGGCAACATCTGTCAGAAGGTTTATAATCGGTACAGTAATTCCCCCTCAACTTCGGTTAATATCTCTGGAGACCTGCACACCATCTTTATACGAGTGTGAGGTTGCAGTAGATATAGGGGTGCTGGGCTAGAAAACCTCCTCGTGGTGCACCCTGGAAACGCTGGCGATGGTACTGTTCCCTCCTTGTCCTCTTGGAGGAGAGGATTATCGCCAGCGGCCAATATTCTAGCAGAAGAGGCAGCCGTTCATCGGCTCTCGGGCAAGGCCTGGTCCAGCAGGGTGGGCGTGTCTGCCGGTTGCCCTGCTGGCTCTTCGCTCCTCGGAGCATGGAGGAGGAAACCTCGGTAAAAAACCTGATGGCGGGGCCCTGTAGGGGCCACAGTTTTCTCCGCTGACAGCGGTGGAGAAAGGAGGACGGGCTCGGCGTGTACTCACACTACCACCGAGCAGGCAGGGGGACGTAGTCTCCCTGTCAACCGTCGGCATATCGCAATCCCGAGAAGAGCGCTGTGGTTAAGTCTCGCGGCTCTGATCGGGGGCGAGGGTCTTGGCTTAACCGCCCGGACCGCGAGGAAGATAACCTCTCTAAAAAATTCCCCGAATCCCGTGTTCTGGTGCGTGGCCAGGGGATGCATGGCTGATGGGAAGTTCAGTCGCGAGCGCACTCCAAGCCGAGGTACCTGCGGACCCCTCGGTTGGGTTAAAAACTTACGCTTGCCCGGGTAATGGGGGATCTCTGCCCGGGTGGACCTCTAGTTCTCCCCCACTCGTGGGATTTAATATGGATACTGTTCAAAACCTAAAACAACAACAAAAAACGATCGGAAATAACCAACAACAGAAGGCAAGCCTAACGGAAACGAAGAAAACGAAGGGAAGGAAGGAGAAGCAAAACAGTGGAGCGGATGGGTCGTCCACTGAGGGTGAGATGGTGTCAGGAACGCCTATCTCGATGGGGCTCCCAGAGGTCAGTCTGACTCTGATCACTGGGAGCCGAAGAGCATCGGATCGGCTGCGTTCCGGATCCGCCGCTTCGTCGGATGGCGCGGAGGCCATGGAGGCGGAACGAAGCGACAGCAGGAAACGCGGACGCTCCAGGGAGGAGGGGACCGACACGTCCGGCGAAATGATGCCACCAAAGGTGGCAAGCAGCCGCCGAGGGAGGGCGCGTAAATCGGCCTCGGCCTCGGTCTCGACCCCGTCAGGCTCCGCGTTCTCAAACGCGGAGTCCTACAGGAGCGTACGAGTGGACGGCGAGGCCGTAGCGGAGGAGGAGATCGCGGATCTCCTGCTCAAGGTTCGGGAGCCGGTGGGGGGAAATGCCCCCCAGGCTCCCGTGTCCGTGCAGGAGAGGGCGATAGCGGCGGTGGCCGTCATCAACAAGGTGGCCACCAAATCCGTGAACCTTAAGGGCTCGTTTGTGAGGGCCCTTAAGGACTCCTCCTCCGCTTTGTCGGAGGTCGTGGAGGGCCTAGCGGGCGACGTCTCTCGCCTGCAGGTGGCCAACGAGAAGCTGACGGAGCGGGTGAACGAGCTGAGCGCTCAGTTCGCCCGCTTCCAGGCGAACCTCCCCGAGCGGGAAGCCCCGTCCGCGTCCCAGCCTGCCCCTACCACCAACTCAGGGGCATTTGACTCCCAACTGCGAGAAATCCTCATCGCAGTTGGGAATATGCTGGACGGACGCCTGGCTGGCCTGG